CGCCGAGATTTTGCAAGCAGCACGGACCAGGGCAGCAGAAGCAATTAAAAAATCAAATATCATCGCTAAACGCAACGCCGATCGCCACCGCAGACCCGTCACTTATCAGCCCGACGACCTCGTTTTACTCGACACTCAGAACCTCCGCCTGCCCATCACTCCCAAACTCCGCCCTCGATACTGTGGGCCATTTCGAATCAGTCACATGATCACACCTGTCACCGCGCACCTCCTCCTTCCTGCTGACTGGTACGTCAGCCCCTCGTTCCACGTCAGCCTGCTTCGCCCTTAAGTACCATCCACCAGCCAACTCCCACGACATCGACCATCCAGCATGTCACGACCACCAACCGAACCAGTCATCACCCCCGACAAAATCTTGAGCCACAGAGTTCGCGACCCTCGAGGGGCCCGAAAAGTTGAGTTTCTGATTCGCTGGAAAGATCGTACACCCACCGAGGATAACTGGGTTCTACTGGACAGAATTGAAAACCACCCTTTCGTCACCGACTATCTACGCAGCCGAAACTTCAAAGACGTCCACGCGCTTTCGTAAGGAGGACCTTTTAGGAGGGGGGGGTAGTGTAAGGAAATTCCCTTTTCCTTACTTCGCATCTCTGCTCAACGCGTACCTCACTGTAGCACCTCAGTCAGCACCGTTACCACTCACAACCATCGCATCATTCATCATCCCGCCATTTTCGCACATCGCATCCCGACCTCACGGCTCAGCTGGTAACCCGCGCTCCGGGCCTACGCTTCGACACGTTCCCAACCTCAGTCCCAGGCTCGTCGCGCGACCATTACCGTTACCACTGTAGTTTCGCTATACATTCTTCGCTCATACCTTCGCTCATTGTACTCTTGCTTCGATAGTGCAATTCTCGTTCGTTCACTCAATTGCTCTCGTAACACGTATAAATGTTAGCTCTGTAAGGATTTACAGAATCCTTACTGGGGCACTCGTTAGCGAGGCCATCCCGAGGGTCACGCGACGAACCTGTCCTTCCTATTTCGTCGCACCGAACCACTCCCGAGTCGCCTCCGCACCAATCGCAACCATCACCGAGCCACCCTCGCCCAACCTCTCCGCCTAGCTAGGACTTCCCCTATTTAGTCGTGCTCTCCTCATTGTATTGAACAACTTGATTCAGTTCATTTTCGATATTCGTTTTACTGCGCACTCTGCAAGTTCATTCATAACACCTGGTATCAGAGCTACTTTCCTAGCTCACCCCGTTTTTTAGAGTGTAATACCCCTCGGGGGGGGGACGAGGAAGGATGCCTTGGGGTCCAGGAGTTGCGTAGGCCGGCCAGGAGAACTAGTTAGTTGCTCCTTGCGGCGATGTTTTTACGGGCACTCCTTCGGCACCGCCAGATCCTTGCCTCGAACGGTCGCGATCGACCGTGGCCTCCCTCCCCCCGGGCAACGGACAGCTGTAGCTGTCGCGACGTTAAACGTGAGTTATTTCCGCTGCGATTTACCGACGATTTCGGAAGTTTGTGTGGCAGTTGGCGTCAGCGGACGTGGCGTCACTGTGGGCGACGCTTTCGGGTCTGCTGTGAAGAAAAGGTCGGATGGGGAACTCGCCAGGCGTAAATGAAGTTTGCGTCTGAAAAAGCTGGTGACGAGGAGAGACGCCACGAGGACTGCCCGATTTATGCGGGAGTCAACTGCCGTCCCGCCCGACGTGTTAAGTGCAGCGGCCTTTACTGCATTCGCGGGCGCGTCATCAACGTTTTCGGCAGAAGTGCACGTGGACAGACGGGATTTTCGGACCTGCCGACACATACGGGCTGCAACGAAAAGCGGAGTGGCCATATCGCACTTAGCAGAAGTGGGGCGCAGGCGACGAGGAAAACCGGGGCTGGTAACCTCGGAAAACGACTCGTGCGACGCTGCGTGCCTGGAGTTGTTGCAAGCTGGCCGGCGGTTTCGAGAGCGGTTTCTCCTACCAGAGAAGTCGTTTTCGGGGACAGCAGCAAGCGACCCACGATTAAACGGCGGTCAACATACTGCCCCGACATTTACGGAGGAGTCGGCACAGGCCGCCGAAACACACGGGAAGAAACTGCCCGACGGCTAAGCGGGGGTCGAGAAACGGCGAGAAGGGCAGGTTAAAAGCCGGTGTGAACGGCCTGTGACCTTCCGTCGCCCGAACCTCACCACCCCCACCAGGTAGTAGTGCCGATTTATGCAGTCGACCACTCCTGGCCGAATAAGGGGGGTGAACACGGGCCTACCCTGCGCTGGTTAAAGGCACCTGGGTTGGTGCTCGTTCGACAGCTGTACAGAAAAAACAAAAAAATGAGGGGAGTTGCGGCACTGTTCTACTCCGACAAAAGCGGGCTGGGTGAAACAGCACGCGAAAAAATCGGGGCGCCGCATGACAACAATGGTGCAGTGCGCTGGTTTCTCCTGACCCGGGCGTCTACACGAGGTGACGGCGCAGCGGCGAAGCGGGCACCGGGATACTGTGGAGTTTAGTGGCGTGGCGGTCGCGGTGGGCTGCAAAACGGTTGGGCGACAGTTCCTTTTAAATAAGGGTCCCCGACTCCGATGTGTTTGCGCCTCCACCGTAACTGGGCTCGCGCGGGCAACACCGACTATGCCCCATCCGACAAAAGCGGACGCTGGGTGAACGGCGGGAAGCAGAATTGTCGGGGGGTGAAACGACCAAAAAAATAATGAAGCTGCGGGTGTTTCTTCGCCTGAAGGGCAATTTTCAAAGTTGCCTGGCAAGAAACACAGCGGCAAGGAGACCTAGGACCCCCGGTGTTTAAACGCACACCTCGGGAAATTCTTCAGAAAAAAGGGAGCGTGGAAGCAGTCGTAGCTTCGGGACCTTCTCGACCGGCGACGAGCGATGCGGTGAAACATCTGCAAAGCGCTGGTGGGAGAAAAGGATTATTTTGTTAAGTAACATCGGCGGAAGCAGTTTTCGACTACGACGTCAACGGCGTTGATGCCACTAGGTTCCGTGAAATTCGGTCTCGGAATAACCCATGGCAGTCCCCGGTTCTCGATTGTACCCACATGCTATAGCACGTCCGAGATTTTCGGAGGCGAACTACTACTGCAACTGTGGATTTACGGGGTTAGATTCGAGCGACAAATTCGGAGTTTGTCCGTGGGACTTACAGGTTTACGGCAAGGAGCGCCGACAACCTCGGAGGAGTATTCGGCGTTTGGTTAAACACGCGCGAAAAGGACGTTGAGAAATAACGCGTGAGCTACACGGAGTTTTCAGGGGTACGAACGACTTACGACGAACTGACGAAGGCAGCATCAGCAGTGCGGGGGTGGGAGAGACAGCTGCATTTTTTCATCCCTGCCCAGGAGCCTTCGGTGCACCACGACAAACGGCTCGGCGAGTCTGGACAAAACCGCCGGAGGTGCTGACATCATCTGACCCTAGATCGTGCTCGACATCAATTTCGGAGTGACATTCGACTTCGGTTACTGCTTCAACGAGCTTCGTCGACGCTCGTATTTGACTTTACGACGAATCGCCTTCACCGACGACATTTTCGTACCAGCCCCGACTTCACGGCCAGAGGATTTCGGGATACAACCACTCCAACTCTACTAGCGACAAATCCATCCACTCGACCCGCCCACGACAACTCCATTGATTTCAAACACGTCAGGTGCTGCCAGCTGCGTCTGCTGAAGATACTGCATGATTCTGGCGTGTGAAGACAAAAACAGGTTAAATTCGAGCAACGCATAATTTCTGCCGCGTTTTCTGGTCTACTTACGCGGGTTCGCCCTTGAAGACTTTTTGGGCACGTCACACCCGACTTCGTCATCAACTTTCCGCTCAACACTCTTCTTCGTGGGACTTAACGCCTGGTTTTTTGTTGGTTTTCATCTCGGCGCAGCTGTGAAACATTTTATGGTGTGTTTTCTTCGAGGGGGGGAGAAAGTGCTTTGCACTGTTCTTTCCTCGGCGTTTTTCTTGGTCCTTTCTGACTTTGTCCGGTTGCGTCAGCACGACGGACGAACGCGATCACACCGACACGATCAACGGTCCCTGCTCCATCGCGTTTTACTTCGCGTCAGCAGGTTCCCTCCAATCTCGCGTCAGTCTTCGACCGTCAGATCCACATCTACTTCATCGACGGCCCACATTCCAACTTCAACTTCATTTTGGACTAGTTCATCTTCGACCGTCAGATCAAAATCGGACTTCATCGACGGCCTACATCCCAACCTTTTCAAAATTATGGTCAAAGGCATTTCGGCCGTCGGATTCAGCTGAAGAGGAGATCTACGGAATCCTTGCTAGTGTGGGGCCTGTTTCAGTACAGGACTGCCTTATTTAGAAGGGGGGAGGGTGTAAGGATTTACAGAATCCTTAATGGGGCACTCGTCAGCGAGGCCATCCCGAGGGTCACGCGACGAACCTGTCCTTCCTATTTCGTCGCACCGAACCACTCCCGAGTCGCCTCCGCACCAATCGCAACCATCACCGAGCCACCCTCGCCCAACCTCTCCGCCTAGCTAGGACTTCCCCTATTTAGTCGTGCTCTCCTCATTGTATTGAACAACTTGATTCAGTTCATTCTCGATATTCGTTTTACTGCGCACTCTGCAAGTTCATTCATAACAAGCTCACATTTTGTAACACAGAGCAACTATGTACGGTACATCCTACATGCAGTGACCTCTTGCGTTGACCGAACTGTAAGGTGTGGGGAGGAAGGAGCTATCTAGACGACGATGCAGTAGTTAACTCCGTGAACGGTGAAATACGGGTCGCGGTACAAGCCCGCCGTCTGAATGGTCGACCACTTGCTCGGCGCGCTTCCAGGTTTCCCGAACGACAGCGTCGCAGAGTTCGCGAGTGTCATCTTCTGCGACGGGAGCTTGCCGTACCACATGGCGAATTTCGCCGTGCCCTGCTTTTGCGGCTTCGCGATCGTCCATCTTCCGCGAATCGTCATGTACTGTAGCGTCTGAAACAGCCGATCGAGTTGCGTTATAGGGACGCGTTTCATGAGGCTGGTGAGGTGATGGCGTCGTTGCTGCCGACGAGGATCTTGCTGTTGTAGGCCTGTCGTACGTTGTACTTCTTGGGCGCTTTCGGGACGGAAAAGGCAACGGAAGAGATCGGAATGAAACGGAGGAGGACGGAATGGTGGGCTCAGAACAGACACGGTGGAAAACACTCGTACGGCTTGGTCCAGGCGGAACTGAGCTAACACAGTCAGACAAAAACCCTGGGCAGACTGATGATTCCTGTAAGAATCACACAAGTTCTTTTCTCGATCCAGGTGCAATGCAAACGCGCAGCGCACTCACGGAGCGTCTTGCCGATGGAGGCGATCTTGGTGTAGTTGGGGTTCTTTTTCACCACCGCCATGGCTTTCGCCACCTCCGCTAGCATCTGCTCGCGCGTCGGCAGCTGGCCCTTGAGAATCGCGGTGAGCCGCGCATCACCGTGGCGGTGTACGGCTCAGACCAAGGTCGCGGCGTGGATCGAACACAGAAGCAGCAGCACGGCGAGAACGTTCCGGACCGCCATGAGGTGACGGAGAGTAGGACTAGTAGTGGTGCTGATATGGGAAACAGGTTGCGGTGGCGCGAATCCGTCGTTCGGCAATTCACAAGCACCGTTCCTCCGGGCCTTTTCTTGGGAACAAAGAAGCGCTGGCGAAAACACGCAAGCACTGCCAGAATGATAAGACATTTCTTGCCGCACTTGCGTGAAAGCTTTGTATTATCATGCAGAGAGCCCTGAAAGGCCGCCAATTCGCCGAAGGTCAGGGCGCTGAATTCCCTTGCCGTTTTTTTCGCAAATCCTTATGCAGGCTCAAATGGTCTCGGGTCATCTTAGGGTGTGGGTCGGTGGGTGGCTGGGGCGACAACCCCTCCTTATCGAGAGTCTAAACTTCGAACCGCCGAGCCTGGTCAAACCGTTGTCTCACTTTGCTGATACTACACGCTGCAAATGGCGGCTCCTCGAACCGACGCGCGTAACTGTACAGTACGTAGCCGATTCGCAGCTGCTGCCACCCAGTACAGTAGTGACCGAACGGGCTGGCGGGGCGAAGCCGCCGCCGACACGAGAGAGCCGCCGCCTGCCAATGAGGATGGTTGCGTCGGTCGGTGGCCGCAACGCAAGCAAAGGCGAGGGTACGGGCGGGGTTGCATTGCATGCAAGCTCGACTCCACCACATCCTCCAAAGTTCCAAACCAAACCAACTGATGGGTCACCTCACCTCTCACACAGCCTATGAAACTGGAATGCGAAAGGAGGGTGACTGGTGGGGGAGAGGCCCACGTCACAAACCGACGGAAGCGAGTGAGGGTGCATCGCACATGTGCTGCTGAAGAAGCAAGAATCACTTCCCTCTCTGGCCGTTTCAATAAATGTTTTTGCGTTGCTATTGCGAGATGCTCCAAGCGAAGCCGTTTGATGGCGGTGGCGGCGATGACGAGGGGAAGGGAAGTCGCCATGCTGCCGACCGACCATCCAAACTGAGCTGGTGTGTTGCATTGTGAGCTGGCTTGGCGGACAGTGAGACAAACTGGTGAAGCAAATGGTTGGAGGTTTGGATGCGACTCGCCAGAAACTGGGTACAGTCCCTAATGCAGTTGATGTAGCAAAATAGTGTGCATTTCTAAACAATTGATAGGAGATGATGTAGGAGAACTTTCATTTGTGTGGGCAACATTTGAGGTTGGTCTGAGAGGTGTTTCAGGGAAATGTATCTCCCATTTGGGACGTGATAATGTTTTGTATAGGGGTTGTGTTGTGTTGGCCAGATAGAATCCACTTTAGTTGTCACCCAATGCTTGATTGTGTATCAAGCACTCACCTCTCCCTAATGAACAGGCTTGCATTTCACTGATTCAAAATAAAAATCGGCACTCTGAATCATTACTATGCACGCAACATCACATAAATAAAGACACCTTCGAGCACAACTTGAGGTCTGCTTCCTCCTCAGCTGCTTCCATTGATACGGCTTGGCAGTTGCCAGCATACCTTCAGGGTTGGACACCTCTTAAATGATGAAGTAGTTAACGCCATGCACAGTGAACCATTTCCCAACGTACAAATTCGGAGTGAGCATCGTCGCCCAAGTGGTTGCTGGACTCCCAGGCACTCCGAACGTGATCAGCGGCGCGTTTTTCGCTGTCATCTTTTTCAGGGGACTCACCCCATTCGTCGGAAAATTAACCATGGGCTTCCTCTTCAAGACAGTGTCGTTGAAGCGGCCTTTGAGGGTCATTTGTTGGAGCATCCCAAACACCTTGTCCAAATCCCCGGGTTTGGCCACGTCGATTTTCTTCAACAGCACCTTCACCGCATTGTCGTTGCCTGCTAGGAGGGTCCCATTGTAAAGCCTCGTGATATCATACTTCTTCGGAGCTTTCGGGACTGGGGTGGAAGGAGGTCGTAGGGGAGGGTGGAGCAGAGCGGGGGGCGTAGATTAAACAACAGTGGTATGTAATTGAAGTATGACGGAATCCAAAACAACAAAAATGCTTGAAATCTCGTTCGGCGCGCATCGTCCTGAGGGATCAACCGCTTCAGCCGCCCTCAGTAAGCAATATCGGCCTTGTTTCCTTCACGAGGTCGGGAACTCTAACTTGGGACCGCTCACTGGACCGTTTTTACTGTAAAGAGACAAGATACAATAAAGGGCACCTGGGCCTTCAATCGCCTGGCAGGACTGTTGCTACTGCAGGCCAAAGAAGGAGTTCGACTTTGATAGGCAGACAGATTAGAGGCAGGCACGCGACATATGCAAAAAATAACCATTTGGAGCTTAAATAATATTTCGAGTGCAACCAGTTACTGTACTTGTACTTACGTCCCACTTGGATTAGTGTAGCGACTCTCTTATAGCCCGGCTTTTGCTTAACGACTGACGTGGCCACCTTAATCTCCTTGAGCATCAGGTCCCGCGACGGTCGCCCGGTGGGCGACGCTTGCCGCAAGGCGTCAACGTGGAGCGCGGCAAACAGCACCAGGGCAAGCAACAGTCCGTACACGACTCGAACGGAGAGCAACCTAGCAGCGCCCGACATTCGCGCCATAGTGTTGCGATCGAACCAAGAAATTGAATATGTTTAATTAGCTCCTTATGAATGGTCTAAGCGCCTTCAAGCTTATCAGTAGCAAAAGCTGGAACCAGTACCTGAAGAACAAACGGTACCAGCTGAATTTGACTGACACGCCTTGAGATGCAGGTATTCGAAACGATAAGGTTGGGGGCTGGGCAATGTTACTGCAGCTCTGAGCAGCGACTTATGATCCAGAAACCATCACTGATGGGGACAAGGAAACCACGGATGGGTTGGTGAGGTAAGGGGGGGGGGGGGGGGGGGGGGGGGGGGGGGGGGGGGGTGGGTGAGGTGTGTTGTGGTTCGTGATCGAACCACCCAAGCCAAGCCGTAAAATGTCAGGCTTGGGCGGGTTGGTCAGTGGAGTTCAGTGGTCTTCCATCGCAGCCGTTCAAGCAATCCACGTTGCAAGTGTCGGTGGGGGGACTCACATCACACGCATCACTTACACCCGAAACTTGAAACGCCTCGTTACCAGAATAGATACGTGGCAAGCGTGCTTGCACAGAAAGCTACAACTACAGTAATTAAAATCAGCAACAGCGACGCGCGATCTGGTACAATCGGCCTGGAGCTGGCCCATTCGAAGCTGTTTTTCCGGGTGTTTGTTTCATCAACCAGGTAAACCCGAGTCTGGTCTAAAATCTTCCCGGCCAATGTCGGCGTTGGATGGAAAAATCACGAGGGGATGATACTTTAAACGAACAGGGATCGATCTCCATGCTTATACCTGTTTTGCGGCAAAGGTGGGGACGTGGGGTTGAAGACTTGCTTTGTGGGGTACGACGTAAGGTGGCATTAAGTTTCGGATGGGTACGGCCGATCAGGACTTAGAGCGTGTCACAACCCTGCAAAGCTGGAGTGTTTGAAACATAGCAGGGCCAAAGTAGATTCTGCTGACATTTTTGTTTCTACACCCAGATTGTCCTAAAACCCTAAAACCCGAGAGCAGCTAAAAACGGCAAGTCTCCCGTGGGGGAGCCACCGACAACTTACATGTTATTCACTATGCAAGACCTTGACTGTCTTAAGAAAAAATGCCTCTAACTAACTTATAATCTCAACGCTAAACAAGCATTGAGCTATTGAACGGATTTCTTTGGATGTAGCTCACCCAACGAAGTCCAATATACCTGCCACGGAGCATGATTGAAAACATATTCTATCAAGCAAAACTGTTTTCCATCAAAGCCCGGATTGGATACTGAAATTTCGTTGTAAAATAGATGTCAAACAAACGTAAGTAGTCAAACGCACATTTGGTGTATCAAGTTCAGCTCTCAGATGCGCGCGGCCCCAGGCAGAACTAGGCTCGGCAGGCCCTCGTTTGAGGGGTCAAGGTCTGAAATGGATGGGCTTGCCCAAACCACGTCCCAACGTGGCTGCCACACCAAAGACAAGCGGCCCCAGCAGCTGCGCTGCGGCCGAACTTCATTCGACAGTTTTGGTCTTGTAGCGACGCTAGTTTGAATCTATCCCTCGTTAAAAGATGTTGGCTGCACCTTCGAAACGCGACGTGTTCCAATATTGCAATGTCGGATCGATTGATTCGAATGAGGCCGCATACACGTTTCTCTTTACACGCTTCCATTCCATACACCTCCATAAGAGACCAAACATTTACACGCTTCCATTCCATACACTCTACATTTAGGTTCTGCCAACTTGGCAGTACTGACCTGTTGGTAGATGTTGTTTACTTTTCCATCCGTCCCAGTGTTGCATTGTTAATTAAACCAAGAGAACAACACTAGGCCTATAAAGCTCTATCTACTATATTCACCTAATTGCACGCATTACATCAACCAATCTCAAAAGAGTACGTCCGATTGCTGTTCAAAAAGGTTAAGGCTTGATCCAGAACGGTCTTTTTTAAACACGAAATGGTTGGGTAGGGTTTTCTGCGAAAACGTGCAAAGTTTTATCCGCCCTTAGCATGCAAATAACCAAGACATTCAAGATCAGCTGGTGACTTTATAGACGAAACAGGCTGCTTCATGAAGCAACTCGCCTCCCTTATACAATCTACACAGTTGCACCGGCAGAATGCTAGGGTGACAAGTGCAATTGTTGACACGAAAGTGGCCTTGCACAGAGCAGGAATGCTTCCTGCTGAAATCCACCTTTCTCAGACAATAATGCAGTAGTCTATCCCATGAACAGTAAAGTAGGGCCCACTGTACAACTTTGCCGTCACCACGTGAGTCCATTTGCCAGCGGGAGAGCCCGGAGCGCCGAAGGTAATAGGCGCCACATTCGCTGCTGACGTTTTATGGATCTATTTGCCGACCCACGTGTCAAACTACCGTGGGGGGAGCTTCTTGAAGGCCACCAAGTTCCACCGCCCGCGAATCGTCACGTACTGTAGCACCTGAAAGAGCTTGTCGAGCTGCGTTATAGGTACCTTCTGTAAGAGCACCTTCAGCGCGCCGTTGTTGCATCACGAAAAAGGGAAGTTCGAAAAGCCACTCAGAATACACTCAGCCGCAACTTCCTCGATAATTTTTGCCCGGCACTTTCAAGTCAAGGTTTTAGAACTGCATAGCGTCAGTAACTGACAAACAACCTACCCAGTCACTATTCCGCTGCATTTTGTACACATGCGTATATCAAATCGGATACTACACCTACTATGTTGTCGTTGCAAAACCGTTACGGTCTGCACCACATGAAAGTTTACCAAACCTAACCTTTCCAACCGACTAGAAAGTTGCAACTACGCAACCCCAACTGCCATCCGTACGCGACAACGCACGTGGCATCCAGTATCAACCCGATGGTCCACGTAAGCGTTCACCCGTCAAAACGTACCCGCTACCCCATCCGTTAGATATACCGTTTGTTCACGCAATCTAGACGGTTCACGTGTCGCCCTGTCAGCTACTCGCACATCATGTAACTCCTTCGCGAGCACCACCTCGCGACTACTCGCTGACACATCGCACTCGCATCTTCTCCGTCCATCTCCTCATCAATCAGCCCGTAAATACGTGACGCTTGGAACCAGCCCACAGGTGCGCACGTCGCAACTCCCGTGTACGAGACCCACTAGCATTTTGACTCTTGGCATCCATCGGAGGGCGCATCGTGCCTATCCACCCTATCCAACATTGCATCCTCGCCGTACAAATGTCGCACCGCAACATTCTCGTTTACTTCGCCATATTTCTCGGCACCCAGTCGTTTTGCTCACGCTACAAGGTTGCGACTCCATCCGCACCGTCCATCTGCACACATAGTCTGCAACTCCCAGCTGCCACGTTGCGCTCACAGCCGCGATCTACCCCGTGTGAGAATTAGAATGAGAATGATTGAACTATGAAACAGTTGGGTACAAGTACTAACCCTAATTGGGTTGTATCCCTTATGGGCTACCGCACTACAGCCTACACAGATGTATAAGCTATAATGTTCTGACACACCCCCATAGGCAAAGTGGGGGAGAACAAGTGGCCACAAGACCAATCAAGCAAAGCAAAGCAAGCTCAGGGTGGATCACAAAGTCACCACACAGTCCGAGCACAAGAGCAAGGCCACAAGGCCACTTCACATGCAAGATCATATATATAAAGGTAAACAAGCAAGTGCAGGTATAGAAAGAGTACAGTACAAACAAGATCAAGAAGTCAGCAAGTGAGGCCAGGTAGGCACAAGACCTAGCAAAGTACAGAAGCGCTGATGATCACAAGGCGGAAGGGCCTTGGTGAAGATACAAGCAGTGTTGGCCTCAGAGGCCACGTAGGTGAGGCGGAGCTGACCACGCTGCTGCAGCTCACGAGCCAGGAAGTAGCGGAAAGCAATGTGCTTCGTTATGTGCTCCAGTCTGTGCTCCCGACACAAGGCCAGCATGGCCTTGTTGTCTACGTACAGAACAGGAGGAGAACGAGACGGCTCTCCTAGGTCAGTCAGCAGGTAGGTGAGCCAGCGTAGCTCCTGTGCAGCCATGGCCCCTGCGTAGATCTCAGCCTCACAGCTGAAGCTGAGAGCAGAGGACGAGCGGGTAGACCGCCACGAAACAGAGCCGGAGCCAAGGCTGAAGGTGTAACCCTGTGACGACCGCTGCGTAGCCTGGTCGTCAGCCCAAAAAGCGTCAGCGTGACCTGTGAGGACCACTCGACGTCGCCCTCCAAGCACTAGCCCCATGCCCGACGTACTGCACACGTAGCGCAACACCCTCTTCGCTGCAGCCATGTGCTCTGGTCGGTGTCTCCCAGGAGCAACATAGCGTGCCAAGATGCTAAGAGGGTATGCAAGGTCAGATCGTGTGCAGGTCATCAGGTACATGAGGCAGCCAACAAGCTCTGGGTACGGGCCACTCGGCTTTACGGACTCATCCGAAGGCAGAGCTGAGAGCGAGTGGCGAGTAGAAAGAGGAGTGGTATGAGGCGAGGAGTACGTGAAGCCGAAGCGCTGAAGGAACTGCTGCACCATGTGTGACTGAGTCAGGGTAATGGTGAGAAAATTAGAACGAGGATGAATGACTATGGAATGAAAGTGATACAAATATGCAACCCTAGAAATGTGTACCCCATATGGGCTACCCCACTTAAGCCTAGACAACATTATAATTTGACACACCCCCATAGGCAAAGTGGGGGAGAACAAGGGGTCACAAGACCTGTCAAGCAAAGCAAAGCAAAGCTCAGGGGGGATCACAAAGTCACCACACATTCTGAGCACAAGTTCAAGGCCAGAAGGCCAGTTCACATGCAAGAGCACATATATATATATAAGAGGCTAAGCAAGCAAGAGCAGGAGTATATATATGTGACAGTACAAGCAAGGTCAAGAAGTGAGCAAGTGAGGCAAGACAGGTACAAGACCAAGCTGAGTACAAAAGCGCTGATGATCACAAGGCGCAAGTGCCTTGGTGAAAACATCAGCAGTGTTGGCCTCAGAGGCCACGTACGCAAGCCGCAACTGACCATGCTGCTGTAGCTTACGAGCAAGGAAGTAGCAAAGAGCAATGTGCT